TGCCCTGAAGTTCCCTGAAAGGTGATAGAGGAGTTGGATGGTCCATGGACACAGGCATGGATGCTATATTTTCGCGCCAGTCTATTTTAACTCTAGGTATCTTGATCATGATATGATTTAATCATGGTGTCTTGATGAAATATTAGTTGAAAGCCATTGCATATCAATGAAACAAAGAACTGCAATCAATATATGATTTAAAGTTGATGACTGAGGACATCTGGCATTTTACAGAATCCATATGGCAATTGGTATACAGTAGTTTTCTACATCATACAAACAAATCAAACCAAAGTCGTTGTAACTTATTACATGGGTACGCAAAAACCATAACAATAGAATCCTTCACTTAGTTGTGGTTGTCCTCCCAAAACTGAGCTTGTAGCCAATCCACAACCTTCTTGTCCACCTGAAACGCCTTGGCAAGAACGTCATCCGCGATCGGTGGTTTTGATCCAAATACTGCATTAGAAATGGTAATGGCACCAGGGTTCTGGCTGCTGAGAGCGGCGATGGCAACCGCTGGCTTGTCATGACTTGGATTGAACTGAAAGTGGATTAGGCCTTGTGGGAACACAAAAACGTCACCCTTGTTGAGCAGCTTTCTAAAAAATTTGTTGTCCGGGTTAGAAGTGACAAAACCAACATAGAGTGAACCTTCAAGAACTGTTAAGATCTCAGTGGCACGGGGATGAGTATGTGGTGGGTTCTGTCCTTGAGGAGCATAGTCAATCCTAGCCATGGAGATGCCCAAGGTGTTTAGACCAGCCAGCTTCATCACATTGATCAACGTGACATTTGACTTGACCTTCCTCATCGTCGTATCCCTTGGCTTGTCAAGGTCGGCTGCCAGGAAGAAGTCGTCAACCTTCACGTCCTTAACATCCTTGCAGGGCAACCCATTCACACGTACTGCAGCATCAATGAAGTGGCATACATGTGTTAGAAAGCTAATCAAACTCGTTTCATGTGCCTTCAGTACCACTTAAAAACCTCTGCGATTGTCATTTTGCCTTTGTTGTAATACAGCACAATGTGTGATACATGTCATTAGCCTGATGAACTCATGAGTACATACCAGGCGAGTCTTTGTCTACAACGCAGAAGTCCTGGAGGGGAGTCGGATCCGTAGCCCGAGCGCCAGAAGCGATCATGATGAGAAGAACGCTGAGAAGATAGAAGTTGGAGGACGCCATTTCTATCTACCTAGAAAGGATTTTGATCTCTTCTATAGAGCTGATGCTTTGCCTTGTGTATGAATCTACTATAGCGAGCTGGTGGGTTTGTCGATGCATGCAGGGGGTACATGCATATATATAGAGCAGTTGAGATTCTGAAGTGGTCAATGAGCTGGGCCGGCTTGCTCCACTGAATTTGTCTCAGGGTGTGGTGCCTCCCGTGAAAGCAACAATTTTGATGGTCAACACGGTTTTGAGTAGATCAATATCTACAACCATGGTCGTCCCGGATAGATGACTATGGCCTGCACGTCATGCATGACAATATGACATTGTTGCTGACTGGTTCTGTGACTGTTAATTTTGTTGGATAAGGTCTTTGGCAAGTAACTAAACTCAACAATAGTATGTTATTAAAGCTAGACGGATTCGATAATAACTCATTTGATTCGTTTCATACCATTCATACTGCTGGCTTTTAATGAAGTTGGCTCCCAGAATCCGATGCTGTCTTCCCCGAAAAAGGAAGAAGAAGCTGATGTTGTCTAGCAGAAAATATCATGAAAAAATACCAAAAAATAACAGTTTCTTAGTCCCAGGCATGGCCTCGTCAGGTTAGTTACCCCAACATATATGTGTATGTTGCTTCAAATAGACAACTGCTGATGGTCAGAGCATGCTAACCCTGATAGCTACCGTGTCCATCCAGCCATGTTGCTCTACTCCGTGACTTGTTCCCATCCTCACCTAACATTTCTGCTGCTACTACACATATATTTACACGCCCACACCCTCTCTCCACCAAAGCATCAACTGCACAAACACATTCATCAGCTAGCACCAGGGCTAAACCAAATGGCCTCTTCCACGACCTTCCTTGTTCTCACCACTCTTCTTGCACTGCTCTCATGGCGAGTCATTGCTTCTGATCCAAGCCCTCTGCAGGATTTCTGTGTAGCTGACAAGGATTCTCAAGGTACGCACATTCAAATTCAAATAACTAAAAATAGGATGATCAGTTATGTATGGTTTATTTGTATTTGCACAAATCATTGTTACAGGTACTCGAATATATGCGGAACATCTTGTTACGTCTCTCACATATCTTCTATGATTTTCCTCCATAATGCAGTGCGTGTCAATGGCTTTGTTTGCAAAGACACAAAGGATGTCAAGGCAGACGACTTCTTCCTAGCAGCAAACCTCGACAAGCCAAGGGACACGACAGTTAGCAAGGTTGGGTCAAACGTCACACTGATCAATGTCATGCGGATTCCTGGCCTCAACACCCTTGGGATCTCCTTGGCAAGGATTGATTATGCTCCACTAGGAGAGAACCCTCCTCACACGCATCCCCGTGCTACTGAGATCCTAACTGTGTTGGAGGGCACACTCTATGTCGGATTCGTGACATCGAACCAAAACAACGTTAACAAGTTATTCACCAAGACTCTCAATAAGGGCGATGTGTTCGTATTCCCAGAGGGACTCATCCACTTCCAGTTCAACCCTTGCCCCGACAAGCCTGCAGTTGCACTTGCTGCACTTAGCAGCCAGAACCCTGGTGCTATTACCATTGCCAATGCTGTTTTCGGATCGAAGCCACCGATATCTGATGATGTCCTAGCTAAGGCATTTCAAGTGGAGAAGAAGACTGTGGACTGGCTCCAGGCTCAGTTCTGGCCTGACAATCACAACTAATTAATATAAGCTGATGATGCAAATTATTCACATAAATACTCTCTTGCGTTCATTTTTTTTTTTTTGATTTTATTTGGTTTGTGTTCAGCATTGCAATTCATATCTGGTCACATGATCACATGCTATTATATATGTAAAATAGATCATTTACGGTTTCAGCAAGACGGTCTTAGAAAGGGGTCATGCAGAAGTGGCTAAAGTACCAAGACTTATGTGCTATATCCCTGCTCGATATTTCTGTGTTTGCCATTTTGAATTTTGTGCGAGAGCCACGAGACTCTGGCCTGACACTGAGTTTGTCCTATAGACCAATGACATTGTTCAAGTGGCGTACATCCATAAGAACATAGTTCTTGTATATATTGCAAGCACACAGTTTCTAAGGTTGTACTTTTTTCCCATAGAATATTTCATGGTTTATTTATATCAAAGCCAAAACTTGACATGGATATCTAGTCTAACAAAAGCATCATCCAAACAAGTCTATGATAACACCTTCTAATCTACAGCAATTATTAACTTAACTAGAACTAGAATAAAAAAGGCTGAGCCCGTTTGCTTCTCTGCTCGTCGAGGCGGCCCTCCACCGGATCCGCCTCGCCCTGGCCACCGCTCGCGCCATCCACCGGATCCGGCTCACCTGCGCCCTCCACCGGATCTACCTCGCCCACGCCGTCGCAGGCCCGCGAGCTGGCATCGCACGCGCCACCTGCCGACGTGGAGGGGGCGCCCCGCATGCTCCGAGCGAGCGCCACCACTGCCGGAGAAGTCGGCGCGAGCTCGCGCCGGCCGTCGCTGGCCCCTTGCTCCAAGAGAGAGGGCGTCGCGTGGGAGTGAGAGAGGGCGCCGCACGGGAGTGAGGGAGAGGGAAAGGGCGCCGCACGGGAGAGAGAGAGGGGTGAGAATGAGAGGAAAACACTAAGTGTGCCTATATATACTCCAAGTACAATATCAGGCCAATATGGGCCAAGCAAATAGCAAACGGGCTCAGCCTTATTATCGGAGGCCTCCGGAAATGACCTCTATTTTTGGAGGCAGACGACCTCTTAAAAGGCCTGCCTCCGTAAATCCGTTTTACGAGACGGGCGATCCTGACCGCCTCCATAAATAAAATGCCCATCTCCGCAAATGCAATTTGCAAGACAGTCAATTGTGACCGCCTCTGTAAATAAAACGTCCGCCTCCCAAAATCCTCATGTATTTTACGAGACGGTTGGATTTTGTGACCACCTCCATTAATGTTTGGTAGTGTCTCCCAAAATCATTTTTGTAGTAGTGTCGGGCACCAACACATGTTTCACACGCTCCAGGTGTCAGGCACACTTGGGCACCACCGCACATGCTTGAGATCCACCATTGCCGCGGGCTATGAGGGAGAGGCAGGGTTGAGAGAGAGAGGGAGAGAGAGAGAGAGAGAGAGGTGAGGGAAGAGATGGAGGGGCACTGCCCATTTGTGAGACAGAAGGGGGCGAGTGAGACAGACAGAGTGCGGCGGCATCTGTGGGCCGGCAGACGCACAGGTGCACGCCGCACCCGCGTCACTCAGATCTACCAGTCGTGGCTGCCGCCCGCCCTAGGCCCCTGGCCAAGACTGCAAGCCTACAGCCAGCAGGCAAAAGCTACTGGTATGCGAAGGCTAGAGCAAGGCAGGAGATGGTCTGGCACCTGGGTGCCTGGCGGAGGCAGAGGCGCTCCTTTGACTCCTGACGATGACGCGACCGAGTCGAGGCTTGGTGACTGTGGATGCCAGATGCTTGATGGGAGTCAGGATGGTGTGAGGTGTTGGATGGTGATAGAGGAGTTGGAGGGTCCATGCATGGACACAGGCATGGATGCCATATTTTCGTGCCAGTCTATTTTAACTCTAGGTATCTTGATCATGATATGATTTAATCATGGTGTCTTGATGAAATATTAGTTGAAAGCCATTGCTTCTCAATGAAACAAAGAACTGCAATCAATATATGATTTAAAGTTCATGACTGAGGTCATCTAGAATTTTACAGAATCCATATGGCAATAGGTATACAATAGTTTTCTACATCATCCAAACAAATCAAACCAATGTCGTTGTCACTTATTTCATCGGTACGCAAAAACCATAACAATAGAATCCTTCACTTAGTTGTGGTTGTCCTCCCAAAACTGAGCTTGTAGCCAATCCACAACCTTCTTGTCCACCTGAAACGCCTTGGCAAGAACGTCATCCGCGATCGGTGGTTTTGATCCAAATACTGCATTAGAAATGGTAATGGCACCAGGGTTCTGGCTGCTGAGAGCGGCGATGGCAACCGCTGGCTTGTCATGACTTGGATTGAACTGAAAGTGGATTAGGCCTTGTGGGAACACAAAAACGTCACCCTTGTTGAGCAGCTTTCTAAAAAATTTGTTGTCCGGGTTAGAAGTGACAAAACCAACATAGAGTGAACCTTCAAGAACTGTTAAGATCTCAGTGGCACGGGGATGAGTATGTGGTGGGTTCTGTCCTTGAGGAGCATAGTCAATCCTAGCCATGGAGATGCCCAAGGTGTTTAGACCAGCCAGCTTCATCACATTGATCAACGTGACATTTGACTTGACCTTCCTCATCGTCGTATCCCTTGGCTTGTCAAGGTCGGCTGCCAGGAAGAAGTCGTCAACCTTCACGTCCTTAACATCCTTGCAGGGCAACCCATTCACACGTACTGCAGCATCAATGAAGTGGCATACATGTGTTAGAAAGCTAATCAAACTCGTTTCATGTGCCTTCAGTACCACTTGAAAACCTCTGCGATTGTCATTTTGCCTTTGTTGTAATACAGCACAATGTGTGATACATGTCATTAGCCTGATGAACTCATGAGTACATACCAGGCGAGTCTTTGTCTGCAACGCAGAAGTCCTGGAGGGGAGTCGGATCCGTAGCCCGAGCGCCAGAAGCGATCATGATGAGAAGAACGCTGAGAAGATAGAAATTGGAGGACGCCATTTCTATCTACCTAGAAAGGATTTTGATCTCTTCTATAGAGCTGATGCTTTGCCTTGTGTATGAATCTACTATAGCGAGCTGGTGGGTTTGTCGATGCATGCAGGAGGGGTACATGCATATATATAGAGCAGTTGAGATTCTGAAGTGGTCAATGAGCTGGGCCGGCTTGCTCCACTGAATTTGTCTCAGGGTGTGGTGCCTCCCGTGAAAGCAACAATTTTGATTTGGTCAACACGGTTTTGAGTAGATCAATATCCACTACCATGGTCGTCCCGAATATATGACTATGGCCTGCACGTCATGCATGACAATATGACATTGTTGCTGACTGGTTCTGTGACTGTTAATTTTGTTGGATAAGGTCTTTGGCAAGTAACTAAACTCAACAATAGTATGTTATTAAAGCTAGACGGATTCGATAATAACTCATTTGATTCGTTTCATACCATTCATACTGCTGGCTTTTAATGAAGTTGGCTCCCAGAATCGATCCGATGCTGTCTTCCCCGAAAAAGGAAGAAGAAGCTGATGTTGTCTAGCAGAAAATATCATGAAAAAATACCAAAAAATAACAGTTTCTTAGTCCCAGGCATGGCCTCGTCAGGTTAGTTACCCCAACATATATGTGTATGTTCCTTCAAATAGACAACTGCTGATGGTCAGAGCATGCTAACCCTGATAGCTACCGTGTCAATCCAGCCATGTTGCTCTACTCCGTGACTTGTTCCCATCCTCACCTAACATTTCTGCTGCTACTACACATATATTTACACGCCCACACCCTCTCTCCACCAAAGCATCAACTGCACAAACACATTCATCAGCTAGCACCAGGGCTAAACCAAATGGCCTCTTCCACGACCTTCCTTGTTCTCACCACTCTTCTTGCACTGCTCTCATGGCAAGTCATTGCTTCTGATCCAAGCCCTCTGCAGGATTTCTGTGTAGCTGACAAGGATTCTCAAGGTACGCACATTCAAATTCAAATAACTAAAAATAGGATGATCAGTTATGTATGGTTTATTTGTATTTGCACAAATCATTGTTACAGGTACTCGAATATATGCGGAACATCTTGTTACGTCTCTCACATATCTTCTATGATTTTCCTCCATAATGCAGTGCGTGTCAATGGCTTTGTTTGCAAAGACACAAAGGATGTCAAGGCAGACGACTTCTTCCTAGCAGCAAACCTCGACAAGCCAAGGGACACGACAGTTAGCAAGGTTGGGTCAAACGTCACACTGATCAATGTCATGCGGATTCCTGGCCTCAACACCCTTGGGATCTCCTTGGCAAGGATTGATTATGCTCCACTAGGAGAGAACCCTCCTCACACGCATCCCCGTGCTACTGAGATCCTAACTGTGTTGGAGGGCACACTCTATGTCGGATTCGTGACATCGAACCAAAACAACGTTAACAAGTTATTCACCAAGACTCTCAATAAGGGCGATGTGTTCGTATTCCCAGAGGGACTCATCCACTTCCAGTTCAACCCTTGCCCCGACAAGCCTGCAGTTGCACTTGCTGCACTTAGCAGCCAGAACCCTGGTGCTATTACCATTGCCAATGCTGTTTTCGGATCGAAGCCACCGATATCTGATGATGTCCTAGCCAGGGCATTTCAAGTGGAGAAGAAGACTGTGGACTGGCTCCAGGCTCAGTTCTGGGCTGACAATCACAACTAATTAATATAAGCTGATGATGCAAATTATTCACATAAATACTCTCTTGCGTTCATTTTTTATGATTTTATTGGGTTTGTGTTCAGCATTGCAATTCATATCTGGTCACATGATCACATGCTATTATATATGTAAAATAGATCATTTACGGTTTCAATAAGACGGTCTTAGAAAGGGGTCATGCAGAAGTGGCTAAAGTACCAAGACTTATGTGCTATATCCCTGCTCGATATTTCTGTGTATGCCATTTTGAATTTTGTGCGAGAGCCACGAGACTCTGGCTTGACATTGAGTTTGTCCTGTAGGCCAATGACATTGTTCAATTGGCGTACATCCATAAGAACATAGTTCTTGTATATATTGCAAGCACACAGTTTCTAGTCGTAGTTTATAAGCTGAACATGGATATCTAGTCTAATCAAAGCATCATCCAAACAAGTCTATGATAACAAGTTCTAATCTAGACGAATTAATACCTTAACTGGAACTAGAATAACCTAATTAGAAGCTAGCTACAACTCATTTACTTAGCTTCTACAAATATTGTTGCAACGAAATATTTAAACACCCGTTGGAGTTATCAACCATATATAATACCATCAAATCAAACATAAAAGATCAAACAACTAACAAAGAGAACAACACTACTACACAACTGGTTTACAGAGAGACAGGCATAAGGTTTTTTTTGAGGCGGCAGAACCGTCCGTCTCTGCAACGAGGCCTCTGTAAAAGCCACTTTCCACACATAGTACATACTGCCCGCCTATGTTAATGAATTTAAAAACAAATAATGCTGCCAAGCCCAGCAAGCATGCAGTGCCCGCTGATGCCCACCGGTACCACCAAGCCTAGTGATTCTACGGAGGCCGCCGTCAAATTAAAGAGCGCATCCTGATCTGTGAGACCACTGATGCCGCCAAGGTCACCAACACTGGCCCTATCCTCATCGTTGGCGTCCATGAGATGAGAAAAGCCCATGCCCATGAACCCAATAGCCGTCCGTGCTGCCAATTTGAACTCCGCACTGCCCAAATCGACTATCAAGAGACAGACATGAACATGAACACTGGAAGAGAGAGGGGGGAGTGGTCGGATCACACCATTGGCAGGATCTTCATTGGACTCCTCCTCACTTGATCTACCTCCGGAGCGGGGTAAGTTCCGCGCGCCTCCATTGGAGCGAGAAGTGGGAGGAGTGCCAACACCAGAGACGACAAGGACCCGCACTCTGCTGTGGGAAAGGGGTGGCCCATGTGCCGCCATGACCTCCTCTTCTCCCCTCCAGTCATGCATGCCACCGCAGCAAATTGAACAGAGGAGAGGACGCATCCACACCGGGCCCGCCACCTCCTCGCTTTGCATCCACATGGCTGTGGAGGGGAGATCCGCACACCTCACCCTCAATCGTGTCGCGCTGCCGCACTTCACTCTTGGGTCACAATCGTTGCCATGGGAAAGAGAGTTTCTTGGTGGATAAGTAGAAATACTATAGATAATTTAGGGCCACTCCATCAATGCGCATGTCGCCACCAAATCTACGCAGTTGTCGTTGCCATCCTCACCATAGCCTGCGTAGATCTGCAAGGGGGGTGAGAAGGCATGGAGGAAGAGCAAGTAGAGAAGAGAGAAAGAGATGGTGGTCAAGGAGTGGGATCTCATCGAGGTGGCATTCAGTCCCGGTTGGGAACGGGCTTTAGCCACGGTTTTCCAACCGGGGTTGCGGATCCGGAACTAAAGGACACAACCGGGACTAAAGCCCATCCTCGAAACTAAAAAAATAGTTTAAATCCTGGAGATCTTTTCTGGTGCATGAGATTCGAACCCAAGACCCCTTGCCTCGCACGTAGCTTACTTACCAACTCAACTGCACACCACATGTGACAAAGTCCTGGACGCTCTCCTTTTGATTCACCTTTGGGGGACCTTTAGTCCTAGTTGGTGACATCAACTGGGACTAAAAGGTCACCCTTTAGTCCCGGTTGGTGTTACCAACCGGGACTAAAGGTTGGAGGACCTTTAGTCCCGGTTGGCTACCAACTGGGACTAAAGGGTGGTTTTTAGTCCCAGCTGGTGTTACCAACCGGGATAAAAGGGCCTTTGGTGCTTGTGAAATTTAGACACGGGACTAATGCTTACATTAGTCCCGAACCCAAACACAACCGAGATTAAAGGTGCGAACCGAAAGTCATTTTTCTACTAGTGTCACCACCGCCAGGTCTGCACAGCCACCGTCGCCATCCGCACCATGGCCCGTGTGAATCCATGAGAGAGAGGTTGGAAGAGATGAGAGAGAGAGCGAGTAGACGAGGGAAATATACGAGAGGGAGCAGGATCTTACTAGTAGTCTTGCCATCGTGGTCTCGCATCTGGCATGATCCCCGGTAGGTGACCTCGACCTGCCACCTCCTTAGCTTGTGGAATTGCAAGAGTGCGCCGCCACACGTGTTCGGGCACCATCACATGTTGCACACGCTCTAGGTGGCAGATGCACTCGGGTGCCGCCACACACGCTTGAGATCCTGCCATAGGATGGGGAGGGTGAAGCTGACGGGCGAGGCCCGTAGGCGGTGAGAGAGGGAGGGAGAGGAGGTAGGGAGGCAGGCTGGCGTAGGCCACTGGGCCATGTCTTGGCCCATGGCGGGCAAGGGAGGGTGGAGGTGGCCGTGTGGGCCTTGGGTCCATCGGCCTAGGTGGGAGAGGAGGGAGTGGGAGGGATTTTGGGCGAGGGTTTTCCATGGGATTTAGCCCAAAGAGAGTATAAGACAATTTTGCAAATATTTAAAAAGATGCATAATGGCATGAGTCTAACAAAACATTAAATACCCTATGTCATGTTAGATTTAATTTATAAAATATTTTTGTCCACCTCTAACAATTATGCATTAGTGTTAATCAATCTTGAAAATTTTTAAATTATTGCAAAAAAATATATTTGGTTGTTACATTAGGTTAAAAAAAGTGGGACGGAATATAATCGATCACCATTAAAAAGCAGAGAAGTGGCTGGGCCGCGGAAAGGAATTAGCGCAGTGGCCGGTAGGGAAAACAAGGGGTGGAGTTGGAGTTGCGCCTACAGTGGAGGGATGTTTGCCTGATTACACTTTTTCTTTTAGGGACAAAGGAGGGGGCTTAAGAAGGGCTGTTTGGTTTCACTTTTTGAGAGCTAAAAAAACAGCAAGATGCTGGAACTATAATAAGAAATGGTTGTGTGCAAAACTTTTATAGAGACCGGTATAAAATTCCTTTTGCTAAAAAAATCATTAATCTTAAAACAAAATTTCTAGGCCTACTTATTTCAATTAAAAAGGTGGAGCAAACAAAGTTTCATATCTTTTTTATTAATAGAACTTTGGTTTAGGTCATTTCTTCATCTGAGGTAATTTGAGAAACTTAGAAAAATGAATTTCAAAAAATTGAAAATGTAAACTTCCAAGCACTAAATGATTTCAAATAAAAAATAGTCAACTATAGATTATTTGGAAAATTCAAAAAAAATGTTTCATCCGTACTGCAACTTTGGTCTAGGTCTTTCCTCCATGGTCATTTGGAAAATTCAAAAAAATTATTTCAAAATCTAAAAACTTTAACAGTTTTTTTGTCCACTAGATGAATTTAAATGAAAAAGTCATCAATTACAGAGTTTTAGATCTCGTCAAGTACTTCAAAACTTTGATATAAAGTTTGTCTTCAACCGACTTGGTTTAAAAAATTTATAAATTTTACTGCGTTGCACCTATTTTAAGAGGTGGGCCAACTCGTCAACCATCTCTATTCTTTTCACGACCGCGCTCAACGAGCACGTTTTTCATTAAGAATGTAGCATAAAACGGTTACACAGTGCAAGCCACAACTTGCAGCACCAAGGGTTAACTGAAAAGAATTAGAAAACAGGCGGCAAACAAGAAGCGAACTATTACAAAGAACCGTTTTGCGATCAACAAGCAACAAGAGGAGCCTCTTGGAACGACAGAAGCTGAAGCACTTGGCTAAGCTGAGTCCTCCAGCAGCGATGGCCCATTCATCAGCTAGCTCTAGAAATACCTCTATTTCTAGAGGAGGCTGGCAAGCCCAACCATCTTTAAAATGGAACTCTTAGAGCCTGTAAAAATAGGACCATCTTTAGAAATCGGTTCGTCGAGGCAGACTAGCTCATAAACCATTTTTAGAGATGGATTTTGATTGAGCCGTCTCTATCCAAAAATACCTCTGTTGCTAAGAACATATTTGTGTAGTAGCGTGGAATGATAAAGATTTTGTTCTTTCATTTTTTGTGATAATCATGAACACTATTTTGAGTTAGTTAATTATTACATCAGCTTTTGTTTGAATATGTGTTTTTCTACAATATTGGTCGAAGTATACGTCTGTTGTATATCCCCTGATTGGGATATACTAATACAAATGTATGTTTACAATCACAAAGTTTCTAAAGAAAAAAAGAAAGATGAAAAAATATTAATGAAAAGAAAGACATGAGCATGACCTTCGGTTTCCATTGATGAGGGAGGGCAAGCAACAACGTTTGTGGCTAGCCGCTAGACACAAGAGAGGACACGTATACACAATCAAAGCAGATGGTCAGTGTCATCACACACAGACGTACGTGGCGGAGGCGTCATCTCAGCCACCATGCTCCGCCGTCTTCATCATCCCCCACGACCGCGGCGGGACACCGGTAGCAAGGTAGACCACCTTCTCCACTGCCTCGAACACCTTGTATCTGTCCAGAGCCCAGTTCCACATGCCACTGACGGTGCAGTAGTTGCTGTTGTACGGCGGGCGATGGTGTCCCGCGTGCTGCGACCGCGACACGAGCACGCCGGCGGCCTGCAGCGCCTCGACCCCGGGGGGAAGCCTCGAAGGCCTCTCGTGCGCCCACGCGTGGAACTGCACGCTCAGCATGACGCACGCCGCGAACGTGCAGGCGAACGCGTGCGCCGCCGCTGGGGAGCCGCCACCGGCGGAGAGCAGCGCGGCGTCGACGACGGGCAGCGCGACCGCCACAGCGCCGGCGACCACGTGCAGGTTGTTGCAGGGCTCCAGGCGCGTGATGGTGGAGGGGCGGACGTGGTGGTCGTGGAACGCCACGATCTGCGCCCCGAAGACGGGCGTGCTCGCGTCGCCGTAGTTGTCGATGAACCAGTGGTACACCCCGGTGATGAGGTCGGCGAGGGAGTAGGCCGCGAAGGCCGCCAAGGCCACGGCGAGGGAATCAGTGGTCACCGTGCCGGAGGCTGCGACGAGGCGGGCGGTAGTGAAGAGGGACATGAGGATGGCTGCCGTGCCAGCCAGCGTCCACGCGCGCTGCGGCCACGTCGACCGCAGCTCGTTCGGAACATCGTCGGAGGGGGCGGACGACATTGACAGCGGCGGCGGTGGCGGCAGAGTCGTCGACGCAGATTTGGACGGCGGTGGTGACCAGACCAGATGTGTTAGCTGCGGGAGTTGGCGGCACGGTTTTGTGCTTGACAACTTTGAGGACAGGTGGCGACCATCGGAGCTTATCTTGCTATGTATTTATAGAGGGAGGGCGAAATAGCATGCAACGGTTTTGTGTAGGAAAGTGTAGCGTGGCCACACGGATTTGTGCTCGCGAGCTGGTTGACGTCTTGACGATGATACAAGGCAGAGGACGAAGATTACAAGAGCACGCGAGCTTGTTGTATGATGGATAACGCAACATCTCATATACACTCAAGATTTGGTAGTACTATCTTACTAACTGTTCCCATCTGAATTTTCTCTAGCTTTCTTGCACTGCACTAGTTCCACACCAATCAAAATTGGCAAGCTGAAACCAACTGAAAGCTGCTTTGAGGCCTTGTTTGGAACCCTCGTATTATGCACCTCAATCCACGTGTGTTAGATGGACCGGAGTGAAACTTAAACTAACTTACACTCCTCAACATATGGATAGAAGTGAATACATAAGTATCCAAACAAACCCTGACCATGACCGGAAAGGATGATAGAGGCTGCTCGTCTGAATGAAATCACTACTGGAGGCCGCGGCTTTGCCGAGTGCAAAAGAGCCCTTCGCATTCGGCAAAGTCTTTGGCGAGTGTAGCACTCGGCAAAGTCCGCTTGGCAAAATTTTTCTCGGCAAAGGTTCTTTGCCGAGTGCTTTTTATTCGGGCAAAATAAAAAAAAATTTGCCGAGTGTTTGGGGCGGTACTCGGCAAAATATTTTCGGCCGTTGCGGCGCCGGCCGTTAACGGTTATTTTGCCGAGTGCCCGACCCAGCACTCGACAAAAAAAATTATTTTTTTAAAAAATTACTTTGCCGAGTGCTCCAGCCCAGGCACTCGGCAAAGTTTTTTTTTTTTTTTTTTTAAAAAGTACTTTGCCGAGTGCCTCTGCCCAGGCACTCGGCAAAGTTTTTTTTTTAAAAAAAATTACTTTGCCGAGTGCCCCTGCCCAGGCACTCGGCAAAGTTTTTTTTATTTTTTTAAATAATTTCTTTGCCGAGTGTCCCTGTTTAGGCACTCAGCAAAGAATTTCTGAATTTTTTTAAAAAAAAATACTTTGCCGAGTGCCACAGCGAGGCACTCGACAAAGAAATTATATATTTTTTTTTGAAAAATCTTTGCCGAGTGCCTTGCCCATGGCACTCGGCAAAGACCCTGAGAATTGCAAATTCTTTTTTTTTACATTCCATTGTAACAGACTATATATATATATATATATATATATATATATATATATATATATATACATCAATCATCACATCTATATCACCAGCATGCATTATATATCACAAGCACACACATATTTAATAAATCCATCACAAATGCACCAAAGTTCAACATCACAAGTTTATTATTACAAGTTCAACATCACAATGTTCAACATCCCTACTGCGGCGACGGAGACTGCAGGTGTGGCCCCCCGGACTACGGCGAAGGGTTGACGCGATCAGCCGCCGGTGACACGGTAGCAGGATTGTTTGAATCCACCGACGGAGGCTACACAAAAGAGAAGAGATTGCATGTGTTAGACTCAAAATTGAAAATTTCGGCAGCACCTCCCCTGCACGGGGAGGTTTCCAACCTGCAAGAAACAACGGCACGAAGGCCGACAATCACAACGGCACGAAGGCCGACAATCCCAACGGCAGGAAGGCCGAAAATCACAACGGCATGAAGGCCGACAATCCCAACGGCACGAACGCATTAAACTTTCATACTCACAGGAGTGAAGTGTCGAACCGGAGCTGGAGCTGGCAACTGCACTTAGACACCCGGTGCTTGCCCAATGGTTTGCATGATCTGATACATGTCCGCCATCTGCTTCTTCGTGGCCTCCAGCTCTGCGGTCAGGTGCGCTTGCGTCTCCTTTGTCTCTGCTAGCTCGGCCTACAGTGTTTCAATCACATGTTTCAGTATTGCAAATCTGATCAATGTGTGTAACGTTCAATGTACGATGAGTGAAACCGAATTACACAAGTTCGTCGACCAGCGATGTGTTGGAGTAGGCCGTGCACGTATGGGAAGGCTTCGGCCGCGTGCTCGTGCCCTCACGTCGGAGAGAGAGAGGTGCAGAGCTCGAGGAGTCGGCGGCGTCTCGCAATCCACAACCGTCCGTGTGCTTCCCGCCTTGCCCCACCTCACGATCACCTCTCATCTCAAGGGGCTCGATTGCTCGGTTGTGATCCGAGCCACGGAGCGCCCTAACCGCCTCCGCGTAGTCTCTGACCTTAGCGTGGACGCTCGGGTCAGAGTAAGCCTGGGCAGTGGCATCCGGGTTGAAGACGACACCGGATTTCACCGGGCCCATGTGGGACACAACCCATGCCCCAAACTCCGACACCAGCACGTCCGGGTGTGCCACCTCCTGCAAGAAAGACGGCAAGATGATTAGAAATCAGGCAAAATTGAGCGTTAGAATAGATAAATGACATCTCGTACAAGTGCCTGCTTGAATGCGGGGAGGTTGCGGTTGCCTTGGTGGTGAGTTGGACCGGTCCTCAGTGCCTGCTTCTGCTTGCCTTGCTCGTGCTTTGCGATGTACGGGGTCAAGGTACCTGTCCACGATCCTCGACCATGCCGATCTATGCGACATGCACCACGAGGATGGCACCTACACATCATCAAGTGTTTGACATATAAGAAGATCAATTCTGGACCTACTAAATCTCAAAACGAATCAATATTATTCACCTACCTGAAGGTACTGCTCCTTGGTCAGCGCCACCTTTCTTGCGCCGGTTTTGTTGAGGGGCTCTTTCTTGATGGACCTGTAGTAGTCGACGTGGGCCTGGAGTCGTACCTCATGAATCATGTCGCCGACGTACTTCTTACAGGCTCTATGTGCCGTCTAATCCGCCAGGGTCTCTCGACCTTCTTCGGCCTTGAAGTACCTCTGCATACAAACACGATGTATCCGTTCATTATTTCAATAAAAGACTTAACCAATGGAGGAGGTGTATTGAGCTATGTTGTGAGACACTTACCCAAAAGTCCGCCAAAACCCGCTCCTACTCGTCATCCGAGCCGAGCTTGTACCTGTCCCACGACCAGGCCGGCTCCCACCTCCCCTCTTTCAAGTCCACAAGGCCGGGGAAGTGTTTCCTGCACAGACATCCTAGGACGGTAGCGGGGGTGCGTGGGGGGTCAAGAGCACCCGATAGAACTAGCCAGCCCCTGCATAAGTGATTAAGAAAAATTATCAGTTTCTCTTTTGATTTTCAACGTATCATATGAAGTACTAGTGATAACATCTATAGTTACTTACCTTCTTCCCACAGGACGAACCAGTGGGCGTCGGTCAGGAAGCGAACCAGAGGAAGGCTTGTGGGACCTCGCAGGTAGGGAGCCGACTGAGCAAAACTGTCCTCCGTCTGCTGAGTCCCCTCGTCCCCTGACGGAGTGTCTGTGGTCGTGCCCGTGGCCACCATGTGGTCCTCCGGGGTAGGAGACGGGTCCTCCGGCTAGTCGAGAGCCGAGGAAGGAGGCGGGTCCCTCCTAGGGTGACCCCGGCCCCTCCCCCTCCCCCTCCCCTCCCCGTGCTGGGGAGACCCGGGCCTGCTCTCGCCGCTGGGGGCGAAGACGTCCCCTCGCCTCCATCAGGAGGGCGTAGCCTCTGGTACATCGAGAGCACCTGCCTCGGTGAACAGTTGCCCACCATCTTTGTTCTATCACCTGCAATGTACAAAGAATGAACAACAAGCGTTAGTACATACATGTCAAATAGTTCAAAATGAATAAACATAACAAAATTTAATAAAAAACATAGTATTACATGGTTTAGGAATAATCTTCATGATTGGGGTCATAGGTCTCATCATCACTATCAAAATTGTCCAAATGGGCAACACTATCCGAAGGTTCTGTATCTTCTTCATTGTCTTTGCCTAAATGGAATTGCTCAAGCATTTGAATGTCCTTCGAATTTAGCACTGCATCTCCAGGGTCCTCATCATCAACCGTTTCATTGTCTACTTCCATGGCGGTCGTCACACCGGGTAAGACTATCTCAAAGCTCCCTTGTAGCCCATCTGCTTGATAGAACTCTCCATCATATGTGTTTGTGTCGAAGGTGTAATCTTCATCGTTTGGAACAGGTAGTTTACCGTGCGAAGATACCTAGTGCACAATAGACCAACCCTTAAGATGGTCTTTGTCTTGGCACGCGTATGGCGTATGATACACCTGCACGGCCTGTTGAGCCACAATATAGACATCTTTTCCTTTATAGACGGAATCATGCCTAATCTCGACTAGCCCAAGATGAGGGATCCGTCTCATTCGTCCAGGATCAAACCAGTGGCACTTGAATATGACAAGAGTAAGAGGTACCCGGCCCTCATATTCAAGTTCATAGATCTCCTCAATTATTTCGTAGTATTCTATGCCATTAGTGCCCGGCGTAAAAACTTGGCTGTTGGTGGTTTTCCGACCGGGCCGAGTCTGCTCGTGTCTTGATGTGTGGAAGCGATATCCGTTCACGTCATAACCAGTATATGACTTCTCCCTTAACTTGAAGCGGTTTGCAACCTGTCTCAACTCGTCACTCATGGACGCATTGGTTTGCGCCTGCAAGCTCAAGCATGATACATCATTATACTATTGGAACGTATGAGCTACTAAGGAATATCGACGAACGTACGACCTTTTGTTTGAACCAAGAAATGAAATCAGGCCTCCCAGCTCCTGCACCCTCTGAAAGAAGGGTATCATGTTCGTGCAGGGTAGGATCCCTTGACTGATGCCACTCTTGACGAACAAATTCCCTGTACCAAAGAGAATCAATGGGGTTCGATACAGAATAGTGATGTCGTATTAAAACAAGTTCGTTGAGAACTTACTTAACGAATGGCGCAACCTCGACAAGGTTGGTGAACACATATAGCGTGATTCTGC